CTTGATGAGGGAACGCGACCACGGAACAACAGAAATTATTTTCAAGGGCTGTCATTTTGTCAAAATATTTAAGACCAATGAAACCGTAATGACATACGATTCCGTGAATTTTCGACGTATTTTTTAGACGGTCGCATTTTGTTTGTGCTWATTAGACCAACAATCCGAACGAAACAACGCAARGTATACTGCACTGATGCACGTCCAATTCAATTTTCTGAAAACAGATTTGGATTAATTCACCTTTTTTTCATGGCGTAGTATGTCGAAAACGAATTTTTCACAATTTACATGAATTAACATAATATTAGATACCTATAGGTACTCATCATGAAGCTATATTTCGGGAAATTAAAATCGGTTTTCCAATGTATTTGTAGGAAATATTAATAAAAAAAAACCTCAAATTGGATGCAAGGCAAAATAAATAACAAACAAATATTATTTGTTTTAAATTCGTAAAAATTATTTACAAATGTTGTATCGCTGTTCTACGAAATATGTTATAAAATAATGTGAAATATGTGTATCGAATAAAATTGCAATATTTATAGTACGCCAACATCAATTCCAGATATTTTCGAGTCAGCAAAATCGAAAATAAACTTAACGGCTGCTGCATATTTCGAAATATAATTACGTCTGTAAGTCATAGTTGCTATGCGTCTGAGTGTACACCGTGTGCCGAATGACACGATCATATTAGAATAAAATATCTATATAAACTGGGTATAATCGTGTTAATCACCTCAAGTATATAMATTTTTTAATGTTCCGGCTTTTGTAAATCTAAAGTTCCTATAATATAATATTTTATAAACAGTTATTTATTTTTATACTATTTAATTAACTTCCTGTTGCGACTGGCGATATAAACTTCTTTTTTTTTCTTCAAATAATAAGACCGTTTTTTTACTGTGAATATTTTTGAGCGAAAATTGTAGGAAAACTTCCATGTACATGCAAATATCATTACTGCATTAAGTAAGGAACAATTAAWTGAAATACGAACAAGTGTACTTTCTGACTAGGTAATCAATGTCTAAATATTGTACCCATACTAAGAATAATTTATCCATAGTCCATGAAAATATATTAAAAAAATATTTGGGGGCGAATAATTATAATACTACCTTTGGTCCCGYGGACCAGCAGTTTAACCAAAACAAAAAAAATAAGGTTTAAAAGATATGTGAGAGTTATGGTTATGGTTTTAAAATTACATTAATTAATATAAACATATATGCACATTAGTAAAATTTTTTTATTTTATCACCAACACTCCTTAAATCATTTAACATACCTTAATGGTATTATAAAATTAAAGTATAGTAAATTCCTTAAGTCAGAATTTAAATAAATACATTATTATAATGGATTAAAGGAATAGGTGGGTAGATGGGGGTGGATTGTATCACCTGCACGTATATCGATAACGACATTTTGGCAATCTCGAGTCGGCTTGCATTATGCCTACATCGTGAAAATCTAGCTCGTTTTCCGTTTTCTAAAGAAAGACAAGTTAATGCTAGCGATTATTTCCTTGTCAGTTGTCATCCGAGGATRGTTTTGGAGGGGCGGTAGTTCACAGGATTCTGTTTTCTCGTACAACGGAGTACCTACGAAGACCTACAAAGTATAATATGTACACCCCGGTGGGAGAGATAACTCGTMTGAGAACAATGCAATTTTTACTGTTTCATCCCCTATAGTTTAGGCAGAGGTTCTCAAACTCGATATTATTTACGATTAATTAGACGAATATTACGGACGGGTCGCTTACCGCACTGTTTTATAATCATAACGGCAGAAGACGAAAATCATCAACACGAGGAGAAAGACATTATGATAAGTTTTTGATGTAGGTACCTACCTGTCTATCTATATATTATATTATTTTGTATTTTAGTTTATTGCACGTACCTCTACAATTATTATTGTGGTTTGAGATTCACTATGCAGCGGCCTATATAATATATCAACTATATTTTCATATCATACGGCGCGTGATCCTCCAAAACGTTATCGCTGTGCTTCGTATACGTCCCCCCCACACACACACAATAACAATAACAATAATAATAATAATAATAAAAATCATACATTATTCAAGGTGGCGCAACAATAATAAGGAATATATAAGGATTGCCATTAAACGCGGACAGACAGACGCGGAGCCGAGTCGCTGTTGAAATGTGCGGCACCGGATTTATGGTTTTTAATAACGTGGCGCCCGTCGGGTGTGGGCAAGTATAGCATATATAATATATATATATATATATAGGTTAGGTTATATATATTTATATATGTATATAATATTCTGTTTCCCGTACAACGTATTATATTATTTTATATACGTCCTGACGTTCGTGAGAGAGCGGTCCAACCGACCGTTGTACAGCTACAATCGTTAGGGGCTCCCATTTCGGGAAAACGACCTTAGGTAAACACTTTATATAGGTACGTATATAATATATTAGGTATATATATATAGTACCACTGCAAGTGTATAATAATAATATAATGGTGAATGGCTGGCGGGACTGCGCGTTGTCGGATAAAACGACGACCGGAACCATGGGGTAAAAAAAAGTTTCATTTCCTATCAAAATAAGAAATTATTACAACAGGAAGAGAACGATGAGCTTAGCGGGTCGACTCGTTAGACGAAACAAAAATAACCAGAAATAAAGAGGTGGAATTCGCTCAACCATTCATTAAGTTGACATTAAATATGGCATTACGGGGCGGAGAGTGCGACGAGCTTCTTTTTTCTTCTTTTTCTGATAATTTTTATTGTAATATTTTCATCCCTTTTTTGTTTTTCGTTTTCTTTTCTTTCGATACCTTTTTCCCGATGCCGGGCCCGGAAGTCAAATACATTTAATCACGAGCGTTTAATTAAACGTTTGATTGAAAGACGCAAGAACAAAGAGCAACGGCTATTAATTAAACTTTTGAGTGGAAAACGTTTTGTGGAAACGGCTTAAACCTTTATAGGTGCCCACTGAGCCCTGTAAGAGAGGGAATATATTATATTATATACGTTTATATCTATGAATACTCGTCTGCCTGGACAAACCGTTTAAACAAACATTTAATTTCGCTCCAAATGTTCATTGTGTTCATACTTTTCTGTACATTTATGAACTTTGTAAAAAAATGAACTTGAAACCATTTACCTCAGACAACTTTCGGTAGGTAGGTAACAATACAATTGACGTTCGAAAAACGCCATAAACTTAGTTGTAAGTACACCAGAAGACACAGCGTTCAGAATATAATATTTATATTGYGCATATCTGTTTCACCGTTTCATTTATATTTTGAGTTTCTCTTTTATTTAAAACACGATTWTGAACACAAACAATAAGTTAAGGTGAAATACAAATATAATATAAACATGCCGATACACTGCGCATGAATAAATGAAGYAGCAAAAGGTGGGATATTAACTAATTAAAATGCATTAATCCTAGTTAAAGTATGGCAGTTTTAAAAACGCTAATTCCAATTTGTTTAGTTGATTTGAAAATAATACACGTCAACTTAAAATCATGTATACGAATATATAGGTACCTATATGATTTTAYGTGAAACTAATTAACAATCGTTTTTGTCTACGCTGTTTAAAATTAATTTAATTAAATGAATATTCCTTGATTCAATTATTTTTTATTAATATGACACGATTCTATATTTGCCTAAACCCTTATGCAGCTAGTGTGGCAATGAAAAATAATGGTTTATAGTAAAAAATCATTATTAAATTTGAAAAACATTGGAAGTTGGACAATTTTTAACTAATCAAAATTRTATTAATACTCATTAATTTAAATATTCCTAGAGTTAAACATTTCATTTCAACAAATCATTTTTATTTATATATGTTTTTATTTCATCATAACTTATAACGTTTAATTATTTTAACTAGGAAACGAGAATTTATTAGCTTGCACACCTCTGTTAGCCACCCATTAAATTATGGTTAATTTCTAGTGTTGATAATATTCTCTTTAATCAGGTTATGTAATCATAAACAGTGTGAGTCAAATTTTCAAATATAAGCAATCTAAAATTTAACGCCTRCTATAATTGGTGCCACGTTTTTAAAGAAACCCCCTTACCTACATATAAGTTTAACAAATAATAATCAACAAAACAATATTTAAATTTAAAAATTGTTTAAAAAAAACCCACAACATAATATTATAATATTGTTTAATTTTTGAATTTTGGTGTTCAATGTTTTAGTGTATTCTCATTTCGATATYTTTTGAAAACAATATAAACGAGATACATAACAACAGATAAACAACAAACTAAGTCTAAATACTATATTATTCGTGTATTGTTATATTCAAAGGAAATTTGTGATCTCAGACTTAAGGAATTATATTTCATATTTTATTCTAACAATGGTTGTTCACAAACATATTTTTTTTGTCCATTAATACAATACATATTTAACTAATTTACTAAAGTACTACACTGCAACAATCCTATATTAATCTTATTATATGTTTTTCCTGTTAAATAAGGAAATCCACTTGAAAATAATTCAAACATAAATTATTATTTACACAAAGAAGATTTATTAGATTTTTTAAAGATGGTTATTATTATTTATATAGATTCTTATCCCTAGCTMACAATTGAGATAGGCACCTAATTGATAAAATTCTTTTATTTTACTATAATTTTTGTTTTTGTTGTAGGCATATATTATACGAATAATATTTTATCTAAATATAAATAAACAACTAAAATAATCAATAAGATATATGTTTAAGATTTAATAGATTATAATTGTTTTAAATTTATTAATAATAAGGCATATATGATACAGTTTAATTAAATTCTAAACATTGATATCAGACATGGTAAAAATCGTAATTATAATAAAATAGTAAATGGTTAAATTAAATATTCAAAAGTATAGTAAATGGTTAAATTAAAATTTATAAAAAAATAAGTTGTAGTTGATAAATTTCACTTACCCGAGTGTTTGGAAACAGTTCTTTTAGTTTCATGTTCACCGTCAATAATTCCATTGGTGCCACGTTGAGATTTATCTCTGAAAAATAAAAAATACATTTATAATATATCACGTGTTATTATATACGAGATTCTAACTCAAAATATTTAACATAGATTTGAATATTAARCAAAAAGAGGCTTTTTGAATTTGTACAAAGCCTGCGTAATATTTAAATGGTATTTAAATAAATATATATATATWTWTTTTTTTATTTTTTTTACAAATTAAAAACATTTATTGTAAGATTTTAATTTAAATAAAATAAAATCTATTTTTCAATAGGATGGTGTTTTATCAACGATAAAAATAATTAAAAGAATCGCATAAGATTATGAACATTCCCAAATTTAACTTGAAAAATTCGAAGCAGTAATTCTTTAAAAAACAAACAGTAATTATTAAGTTTCTACTTTATCTGTGTAAATATAACAWAACTTGTAGTTGTATATTCAGCTGTCTTCGAAGCTTTTAAAAATAATATTATTGTTGAAGGTTAAAATGGATTTGCAAAAACTAAAATATTAGCTTTTAACTTTCACTATTTAGCCAATTTATTATTATTCTAGAATTTTGTAAGCCACTTTATTTGATCTCACAGGAATCATATAATTTTAATAAATCTTGAAGCCATAACAAATTTGAGTACCTAAGTTACACAATTAATTTACATATTTTAAGAGGGCAATTATTAYGAAGATATTTATATCCACTTTTGAAATAGTAGCATACATTTAAATGATATAAGATGACCTATGAACTCTGTTACTAAATTGTACCAAAAGTTATACTTAAGATTTTAAATTGTAATTCCTAAAATATTAAATTATAGAATGTATCAATGTATTTATTTAAATATCAACTAATGAAACATTATTATATTCATGTGATATTGTGATTTATTTTTACTAATATACCTACAAATGTATAAATATAATACAATAATCTTTTATTCCTTTAAAGTTTTGTCTCAAATTTTGAAGGTTTAAGGTACCTTATTTTAGTGATATAAGAAAATATTATTTTTTGTATTGAATAATAATAGCTGTTATATAAATATTTGTTTACCACATTGTATCTTACAATAGCTTTTAGAGTATAATTTAAGAAAAAAGCTGTTTGGTTATCATTCTTAAGTTTTTATACTTATTAAACATAATAATAATAAAATTATGCGTTTTTAGTTTTCATAAAATGTTTATAATATAATAAATATCTACTCAGTGTACTATTTTAGCTTAAAAAACAAATTTACACGACATCAAAACTATCTGTKTCACTAAGAAAACAAATTCCAATAAYGATTGTGAGCAAAATTGTTTTAACTTACAGCGATTAGTTCGAAATAGTAATGTTAATATTTTTCAATACTCTATAGCAGTAGACAATATCACAAGGTTATAATTGTGAAACCATTCAAAAACCCTTACATAACTCATCTTTAAAGTTCACCATATAGTATTCAAATTTTCCACGAAATATTTTTTTTATTTTTTTAACACTGTCTATCACTGAAACTATATTATAAGTTGCATTATATGTATAATGTATATACATAATTGCGAGTATATAATGAATAATAATATGTATTTTTGTTCATTTAAATGTTACAAACAATTTTACCATTTCACAAAAACCTCATCCATCAGCACAATAACAATACACACACAAAAAAAAATAGCTAAGTAATTTTGTAATTTATGTGTTTTTAAGTGCATCATTAGTAACAGTATTTTCTAGTGTTTTTTTTTTTCAAATCAATAATCAAAAGGCCCATGTCATATTTTTATGGTTACAATTATTCATCAAAGGTAATAAACATTTAGCTTTTAAAACCATCTCATATAGGATGTAGACTACTACAATATAATGCCAATGACTGCATTGGCATTATAATAGTTTTACTTGGTATAAAGCATTCTTTATTTATTTTTAAGATATTATAGTTGTATACATTGTTATAGACCAAAAGTAATAAACTATAACATTCATAAAAAATTATGTGACATTTTAGAATATTCAATGTAAATAATTACATTTATTTTATATATGTTTCTCAAATATTTCAAAAAGAATATACATAGAGAATAAATTTTTAACTGAAATTCATTTTAAATTTATTGTTTTAATAACATTTTATCAATTGCAATATTGCACGTATAACCTCATAAAAAGCGTACTCTGCATATAGTTTTACTGTTTTACAGTGTATAATATATTATTATAAAACTTTTTATAATTTTAACAGTATTAAAAAGAAAAACAATAGAAAGTCRCTAATAAGTAATAAATAAATAATTTTTTTATTATATAAGTTTTAAAATATAATATTTCATCAAGTACCTATGTTGCTTTTTATGAAAAAATAATGATAAAACTTAAATAATTAAGTTTCGTAATAA